TTTTTGAGACAGAGTCTCACTTTGTTGCCCAGTCTAGAGTGAGTGCCGTGGCGTCAGCCTAGCTCACAGCAACCTCAGACTCCTGGGCTCAAGCAGTCCTACTGCCTCAGCCTCCCAAGTAGCTGGGACTACAGGCATGCGCCACCATGCCCAGCTAATTTTTTCTGTATATATTAGTTGTCCTCCCAGAGTGCTAGGATTACAGGCGTGAGCCACCACGCCTGGCCGAGACATCCTTCTAGAACCAGGAATATGTCAGCTCCCTTTTTGTCCAATCTGCAGATATTGGGGCCTGCGAATCCATCATGAAGAAGAAAACCAAGCAGGATTTCCAGGAGCTAATCAAGACCGAGCATGGTAACTACAGCAGCCCTGCTATGCTCCTGCTTCCCTGCTCCCAGCCCCTCGCCCACCCTTAAAAGATACTCTCTGGCTCTTTCCAGCTGACACTGGCTGTGTGGAATGCTGGTTCCTGCCAGAGTCCTGGGGGTCCCTTAATCCACCCCAAGGATGGAGAAAGAAGGGGAGACAGACACCCATTAGCATAAATGGGAACAGCTGAGCTGATCCCAGTAACAGGCTCTCCTCTGATTACTCACAGCGCTGCTAGAGGGCTTCAACATCCGAGAGAGCACCAGCTACATCGAGGAACACATTGACCGGCAGGTGAGCAGGTGCAGGGCTGGGGAGCTGAGGATGGTGTTTAGAGGTGGGCTTGGCCTCAAGCAGAAGGAAGAGGCGAACATGCGTTATGAAACTGCAGTTCTCCTTGATTGATCCCTTCTTCCCGTGCAGGTGTCGCCCATAGAAAGCCTGCGCCTCATGTGCCTTCTGTCCATCACTGAGAATGGTGAGCCCAAAAGACCAAAAATGAGAATGCCAGATTGAGAAACTATGCCTTGGGAATAGCAGAAATAATTTTGAAAGACAAAGACAAATAGCAAATACAATGTTTCCCTATAATTTCATGGATTCTTTTCCTGTAAAGTAAAGCAGTTCTTGTTATGGGTGAGTCATCACCAGGTACCAGGGTAATGTATTATTTTAGCTGTAAGCAAGACCACATCCAGGCCAGCCTGGAAAAAGGCCTGTCACATGTTAGGATCATAAAGGTGTACAGCCAAGTGGTATTTCTCTCATCATCCCATCTGACCGTTTGTCTTCAATTTTTTGCTTGCATGATTAAGATTCAGTCCAAGAAAAAGGGACAGCCAACTAATTTCATGATCCAGATTCTACAACCTTTATGGCATTTTCTTTTTACTGTTGAAGTCTTCTGGTTGGTGAATATTCTTTAAGTTTGCTTTCTACTCAGAGCAGTATTTTGCTTATTCTAATCTCCTTTACTATAGTTGGAAGCCCATTTCTTCTTACCTCGGTGGAGAAAACCATTTAAGATGTACTTGAGGAACTCACTGTAACACTGTCCCTGTTTCTCAGTAGCTGGAAAGCAGCCCCACGTAGGACTGCCCCTCAGCTAGAATGAATTGCACGAGAAGTGCCTCTTCCTCCCTCCTGCCGCATCATCCCCACACCCCACTGAGGTTAGCGGTAACCGCAGTGTCCCCTCCTCGGCACCCTCATGGTCACAGCTCTTCCTTGGAACTCTCAGACCCAGGCTTTGTCTTTCAATAAGCAAGCTTAAATTTAGGAGTCAGTTTAAAATCAACTGTATACTGTGCAAGGTTAACATCAGTTGCTGGGTCCCTCCTCCTCATAAGGTATTGGCTGCTTGGTTGGTCTGGCTATACATGTTGGGGTACCTCAGCTGGCCTCTTACCCATGCACCTGTCTTATTTTCTTTACCCTCAGGTTTGATCCCCAAGGATTACCGGTCTTTGAAAACACAGTATCTGCAGGTAAAGCCTGGATAAAGTTATTTTTGGGGGTTTTTTTTGTTTGTTTTTTTGTTTTGAGACAGTCTCACTCTGTCACCTGGGCTAGAGTGGTGTCATCACAGCTCACAGCAACCTCAAACTCCTGGGCTCAAGTGATCCTCCTGCCTCAGCCTCCCGAGTAGCTGGGACTACAGGCACGTGCCACCATGCCTGGCTAATTTGTAAAATTTGCTGTAGAGATGGGATCTTGCTGTGCTGCTTAAGCTGGTCTTGAACTTCTGGTCCTCATGCGGTCCTCCCGCCTGGGCCTCCCAAAGTGCTAGGATTATAGGCATGAGCCTCCGCAACTCGCCAAGAAATTATTCTTGAGGGAACTTGGTGAGGACAGTTGTTGGGCATTTTTGAAAGAGGCAAAAGAAGAAATGATCCCTTTCCTGTCCCTACCACCACCCTGTTTTCCATTCCAGCCTCCCTCTTAGAGGTCCTAGGGAGACCTTTCAGCGTGTCACTCTGCCCCTGCCCTCCTTCTACCCCAGATCCTCCGTGGTGCGCATGCAGAGAGGAAACTTGGCAGCCGTTGGCTCCACTGATGAGTTCTTACCCCTGGGAATCTTCTTTGTTTTAGCCCTTTATGAAGCACCGATCCAGCCTCCTTCCCAGGCCTCAAGTCTTACTTCGTCCGTGAGCCTTCCCCACAACCCTTACATCCTTAGATCTCTCTCTGAATAGTCTCATGCTGCTTTTTATTATTTGTTTGGGGTAGGTTATTTCTGATGTGAAAATGTGTCACACAGCAAAGTGTGAGCTCCTTTGGGGCAGAGACTGCACAGTCCTTCTCCCCCTCGCTCCTGTGTCACCTGACAGTGCTAGGCCCTGGTGGATGCTCAGTAACTAGCTGAACTGCCTTCTCTTCAGAGCTATGGCCCTGAGCACCTTCTAACCTTCTCCAACCTGCGGCGAGCTGGGCTCCTAACAGAGCAGGCCCCCGGGGACACCCTCACAGCAGTGGAGAGTAAAGTGAGCAAGCTGGTGACCGACAAGGCTGCAGGTGAGCAGGGAGCACAGGTGACCCCTGATCATCCCCCCTCCCCCCCACTGCCTGCAGGCTTTTGTTCTTACTTCTCTCAATAGGCAGAGCCCCAGGGAGGAAGAGAGAGTAAGCTGGGGAAGGGGGAGATTCCTGTTACTGTTATCGCTGTTACTACTTCTGCTAGTAAGAGCAGTTTTCACATACTGAACACTTCCAATGTGCTGAGCCTTTTATTTTTTTGAGACAAAGTCTCGCTGTTGTCCACGAGTGCTGTGGCGTCAGTGTAGCTCACAGCAACCTCAAACTCCTGGGCTCAAGTGATCCTCCTGCCCCAGCCTCCCACAGTGCTAGGATTACAGGCGTGAGCCATGTCCAGCCCATGTACTGAGCCTTTTAGATACAGTTTCTCATTTAATCCTTACAAAGACCCAGTGAGGTAAATTTCCTTCTATTTTACAGATGAGGAAACTGAGGCTTAGAAAAATTAAATGACTTGTCCAAGTTCCCTCAGTAAGTCAGGTTGATTTGACTCCAAAACCCATACACTTGACCAATAAACTCAGGTCACCCTGTAGATTGCACTTCACGTAGAGAGCTGGTACCCTGTAGGAGGGGAGGACTGTGGGCAGGGAGAAGGGTGGGCAGTGTCTTGATCCGTTCCAGGGAGTTGTAGGTGGAGGTTTCCAGGGGGTCTTTGGATGTGATTGTTCCTGTCATGTCCCGAGTGGTGTCACCTGTGGCAGTGTCATGAATCCATACACCTTAGGTGAAACCTAGCACAGATTTCTTCTCTAGGAAAGATTACGGATGCCTTCAGTTCTTTGGCCAAGAGGAGCAATTTTCGTGCCATCAGCAAAAAGCTGAATTTGGTATGTGCAGTGGGGCTGGATAGGGAAGGCCTCGGGTTTACTCCTTTGTGGGCTATTTTTGGTTTAAAACGTTTTTTGTTTTTTTTTTCCCGTCCATCCTAATTTGTCCTATTTGTGGGCTACTTTGAGTTACAAAAACTTTTTGCCACTTTTGTTTGTAAAAAGATCCTTTTGTTTGGTAGCTTGAGCTTAATAAGACAGGAAGATTCATTCATTTAATAAACATATAGCAAGCATCTGCTGATGCCAGGGAATACTCTAAGTGCTGCTTCAGTGACAGACATGTCCCGAGTCACTGAAGGGCAGAGAAAGAACCCTTCCCTCCAGACCCTTCACAGAAAAGTATTCCAGAGAACGGGCGGGTACTGAACAGAGCTGTCATTGGTTGTGGATTTTTTTTCAGGGCTATTGCTAGTTCTCCCTTTAGTTGAAATAAGAACTGTTCTCTGGGATATGCCACTTTATCCGACCCTTTAAATCCCCAACCCCTGGGCCACAGAATGGTACTAGTCTGTGGCCTGTTAGGAACTGGGTCACACAACAGGGGGTGAACAAGTGAAGTGTGATCGGTATTTACATGGCTTGTGTTACCACCTGAGAGCCGCCTCCTATCAGATCTTGCCCCCACCCTGTCCTTGGAAAAATTGTCTTCCACAAAACCGGTCCCTGGTGCCAAAAAGGTTGGGGACCACTGCTTTAAAGGATTAGGGAGCTGAGTTGTCACTTGCCTAATATAGTCCCTTTTCCCTCTAGATCCCACGTGTGGATGGCGAGTATGATCTGAAAGTGCCCCGAGACATGGCTTATGTCTTCAGTGGTGCGTATGTGCCCCTGAGCTGCCGAATCATCGAGCAGGTGAGAGTGAGGCACTCTTGCTCCCATTCATATTTCACTCTCTGCTTTCTCCTGGTCCCTGGCCTATCCCAACTTTTTTTTCTTCTTTTTTTTGAGACGCAGACTCACTCTGTTGCTCGGGCTAGAGTGCTGTGGCGTCAGCCTGGCTCACAGCAACCTCAAACTCTTGAGCTCAAGCAGTCCTTCTGCCTCAGCCTCCTATTTAGCTGGGACTACAGGCACGTGCCACCATGCCCGGCTAATTTTTTCTATATATTTTTAGTTGGCCAATTCATTTCTATTTTTAGTAGAGACGGGGGTCTTGATCTTGCTCAGGCTAGTTTCAAACTCATGACCTTGAGCAATCCACCTGCTTTGGCCTCCCAGAGTGCTAGGAGTACAGGCGTGAGGCACCTTGCCCAGCCTATCCCAACTTTTTATTACTTAAATAACTAGCAAGAAATGTGACAGTTTGGTGGTTGTGCCCTTCCTTCTAAGCCTGACACTGTCTGCACACTTGAAACCAGTGCTTATGCTTTGCCAGGTGCTGGAGCGGCGGAGCTGGCAGGGCCTGGACGAGGTGGTCCGGCTGCTCAACTGCAGCGAGTTTGCATTCACAGGTGTGTGGCATTGACAGTGGGGCAGGGTGGCAACAAGAGCGGGGGCTGGATGTCAGGAAAGAGTTGAGTCTGGTTTGATCCTCACAGACATGACCAAGGACGACAGAGCTTCCAGCGAGTCCCTGCGCCTCATCTTGGTGGTGTTCTTGGGTGGCTGCACGTTCTCTGAGATTTCAGCCCTCCGGTTCCTGGGCAGAGAGAAAGGTAAGGGAGAACAGAAAGTGAGAACAGGCCTGTTGGGATCTGGGGGACGAAGGACAAAGCGCCCTGCACAGGAAGGCTTTTCTCCTGGCCTGCGGGTACCACTTGCCGTAGCCGGGAGCCCAGTTCCAGCAGGCTGGAAAGCTGTGGTCCCCAAGAGCATGCTACTCATGTCTCTGTGTCTGCAAACTGGGGCTCCCATCCAAGGGACTGTGGCAACAGGAGTGCTCATTATGGTTACTGTTGGGGCCTAAGATCTGCTCTCAGTCACTGCGGCTGCTGCTTTTGCCTCCTTAGGGTACAGGTTCATTTTTCTGACGACAGCAGTCACAAACAGTGCTCGTCTCATGGAGGCCATGAGTGAGGTGAAAGCCTGAAGTTTTCCCTGCCAGTGTGGAATTTTCTCTGGACACGTTCCTCAATGGGATGCAGGAGTCTGATGCCCAGCTGCTTACAGTGTCCACTGACGAGCTACCTGCTAAGAGCTGGGACCACAGAACCACTCGGGATTTAGAAAACATATCTGAGGAGAGAGTTCACTTCCTCCTCTCAGGATAGCTCTCTTTTTTGGTTTATGAAGTACTGCCCATGCTGCTAAGATACAGGGGAAGCAGTATCCTTTGCTAAATCCTGTTTGAGTATCATTGTAAATAAAGCCTCTACTCTTGGATGTACTATGTTTGCAGTTCTGGACGAGCACTTCCATCTTCATTGAGAAAGCACAGTAGCACTTTCCGCAGGGACTTCACACGCTTCGTGGCCCGGACTCTATAGCAGCTCTGGGCCTGGGGTGGTTCTTTCTAGCAAAAGTCACTAAAGTGCCTGTACCAGTATCCTCAACCACAAAATGAGGGGGATAGATTAGATGAGTAAGAAGCACCTTTCCAATTCTAAAATTTTGTGATTCATTACACTGTTCAGAAAATGAGTTTGTGTCAAATGAGTTTGTTATTTTAACTTAAGGAGGCACTTTAAACTTTTTGTTTATTTTTGCAGAATGAATGTGTCCCCTGTTAGAGCCATTTTTTTTAAATTTATTTTTACTTTTTTTTTTTAATCTATGATTGTAAATTAATGGCAGAAAATAAAGCCATTTTTGACATCAGCAAACAATGCTCCTATCCTATAAAGGTCACCAGTGGCTTTTCTCTCCCTCTCTCTTTTTTTTTTGAGACAGTCTCACTTTGTTTCCCAGGCTAGAGTGAGTGCTGTGGCGTCAGCCTAGCTCACAGCAACCTCAAATTCCTGGGCTCAAGTGATCCTTCTGCCTCAGCCTCCCGAGTAGCTGGGACTACAGGCATGCGCCACCATGCCCGGCTAATTTTTTCTATATATATCAGTTGGCCAATTAATTTGTTTCTATTTATAGTAGAGACGGGGTCTCACTCTTGCTCAGGCTGGTTTTGAACTTCTGACCTCGAGCAATCTGCCCGCGTCGGCCTCTCAGAGTGCTAGGAATACAGGCGTGAGCCACCATGCCCGGCCTCCCTCTCTTTACCTTATAAGTTGATCTCACTGATGACCACTGTTTCCTTGAAATTCTATTTTTTTTTTTTTTTTGAGACAGAGTCTTGCTCTGTTGCCCAGGCTAGAATGCCGTGACGTCAGCCTAGCTCACAGCAACCTCAAACTCCTGGGCTCAAGCAATCCTTCTGCCTCAGCCTCCTGAGTAGCTGGGACTACAGGCATATACCATGATGCCGGGCTAATTTTTCTATTTTTAGTTGCCCAGCTAATTTCTATTTTTAGCAGAGACAGCTTCTCGCTCTTGGTGAGGCTGGTCTTGAACTCCTGACCTCAAGAGATCCTCCCAGAGTGCTAGGATTACAAGCATGAGCCACCACGCCCAGCCCTTAAAATTCTCTCAGCTTCCATAACACTCTCTTTTGCCCTCCTACAATCTCTTAGCTTGTCCCTCTGTCCCCTTTGATTACTCCTCTCCGCCCACCAATTTGACATCTTGGCTTTCCAAAGTGCTGGGGTTACAGGAGTGAGCCACCACACCCAGCCATAGCAGAGGTCTTTATTGGGTTTTTGCAAGACTGTCACTCCCATCTGTTCCCCACTCCACAATGCTCCCACTTACCAAAAGAAATACAACAAAAACCTGAGTTATTGGATCATCAGAGGTATTCTTTCCACAGACTAATGATAATCCTGTGTCAGAACATTTCTCAAGGAATATCTCAGGTATGCCTCAAGTCAAGTATCTAGCTGGAACTCTCACAGTGTATGTCAAGCGAGTGTAGAAGATCAAAGACACTGCTGACAAGGCTGTTGGTTCATAGAAAGCATATATTGCATCAGAAAAAGATTCTATGGCCAAGTGAATAAAAGTGGCAGTGCATTACACTTCCATTCTAGAACACCGTCCAGTAGAATATAGTATGACCTTATGATAGGGTCATATATTAATATACACATTATACAGCATTTTATATGCTCTGAATGGATATCTTTGCAATGGTTCTGTGACTTTGTTAGCATCAGAACTAGTGTAAAGGACATGATAGCAAAATTGTCTTATCTAACGTTGTCATACTTAATGCTGGTTCTGGGAACATGTCTGAAGATCACAAACTTTTTTTTTTTTTTTTTTGAACAGATCTCACTTTGTGCCCAGGCTAGAGTGAGTGCCTGTGGTCAGCTAGCTCACAGCAACCTCAATCTCCGGGCTCAGGCGATCCTCCTGCCTCAGCTCCCGAGTAGCTGGACTACAGGCATTGCCCACCATGCCCGCTAATTTTTTTTTTGTATATATATTTTAGTTGCTCAATTAATTTATTTCTATTTTTGGTAGAGACGGGGTCTCGCTCAGGCTGGTTTCGAATCCCTGACCTTGAGCAATCCGCCCGCCTCGGCCTCCAAAGTGGTAGGATTACAGGCGTGAGCCACACGCCCGGCTTTTTTTTTTTTTTTTTTTTTGAGACAGAGTCTCGCTTTGTTGCCCAGGCTAGAGTGAGTGCCATGGTGTCAGCCTAGCTCACAGCAACCTCAAACTCCCGGGCTCAAGCAATCCTGCTGCCTCAGCCTCCCAAGTAGCTGGGACTACAGGCACGAGCCACCATGCCCGGCTAATTATATATATATATAATTATATATATATATTATATATTAGTTGGCCAATTAATTTCTATTTTTATAGTAGAAACGGGGTCTCGCTCAGGCTGGTTTTGAACTCCTGACCTTGAGCAATCCGTGCCCCCCCCTTGGCCTCCCAGAGTGCTAGGATTACAAGCGTGAGCCACCCCGCCCGGCCTGAAGATCACAAAGTTTTGAAGCTTCCTGAAAAAGTCTCCTCTCAAGTTAATCAAAGAGTGCAAGTTGGCCGGCACAGTGCCTCACGCCTGTAATCCTAGCACTCTGGAAGGCGGAGGCGGGTGGATTGCTCAAGGTCGGGAGTTCAAAACCAGCCTGAGCGAGACCACCCCCCCTACTAAAAATAGAAATTAATTAACCAACTAAAAATATATATACAAAAAATTAGCCGGGCATGGTGACACATGCCTGTAGTCCCAGCTAATTGGGAGGCTGAGGCAGCAGGATTGCTTGAGCCTAGGAAATTGAGGTTGCTGTGAGCTAGGCTGACGCCCATGGCACTCATTCTAGCCTGGGCAACAAAGTGAGACTCTGTCTCAAAAAAAAAAAAAAAAGTGCAAGTAAATTTAAATAGTGCTGTAGAACACTATGTTAGTGGTGTGAATATTAATCCACAAATGGTGCAAGTAAATTTAAACAGTGGTCCCCTGTACTGGTTGTGTGAACATTTGGCATGTGGCTGATAAAGGACATTGAAAGTATCAATGGAATTTTTCTTTTTTAGGTAAGCATGAAGATGAGGTAATGGAGAAGAGAAAGATAGGATTATAGGGCAAGAGCAAGATACAGGTTTACAGAGCATGGCACGTACGCCATAGATGACGTGACCAGACCCATTGTTGCAGCAGGGAAAGCAAAAGGAATGGCAAAGAAAGTAGAGCCAATGGAATTTGTCTGGAAGTGGGGAAAACATGATTCTGGTAAAGCAAGCAAGGTAAAGCAAGCAAGCATCCTTTACCTTTAGGGAAAAGACAAAGAGAATTCACAGAAGTTACAGTTGGCCAGTAAATACATGAAAAATGCATAATTTCAGTTAGAATCAAGGGCCAAACAAGGAAAGGCCATTTTTGCCTATGAAACGAGCAAAGAGGTTTAAAAGTACAGTAGAATTCAGCACTGCTAACAGTAATAAGAACACTCTTCCAGTGAGGCTTGGTGGGGAGGGCAAATTAATAATGAGAGTATTTAATAATTTCACTTCCAGAAATCAGCCATAGGAAAATAATGCAAGAAGCAAAGATTCATGTATGAAGATATTCAGATCATAGTTACCATAAAAATTACTGTGTTGGCCCATAAAAATTACTGCTGGCCCAGAGAGGTGGTTCACGTCTGTGATCCCAGCACTTAGGGAGGCTGAGGCAAGAGGATCGCTTGAGTCCATGAGTTCGAGACCAGTCTGAGCAAGAGGAGATGAAAAATATTTTTTACTAAAAATAGAAAAATTAGCTGGGCATGTGGCTCACGCCTGTGATCCCAGCACAGGGAGGCTGAGGCAGGAAGATCGCCTGAGCCCAGGAGTTCGGGCTGGGAGAGAGACAAAGTGAGACCTCACCTCTAAAAAAAAAAAAGCGACTATCTAAATATCACAAAATGGGGGCCAGGCGCTTGTAATCCTAGCACTCTGGGAGGCCGAGGCAGGCGGATTGCTCAAGGTCAGGAGTTCAAAACCAGCCTGAGCGAGACCCCGTCTCTACTATAAAAAATAGAAAGAAATTAATTGGCCAACTAATATATATATAGAAAAATTAGCCGGGCATGGTGGCACGTGCCTGTAGTCCCAGCTACTTGGGAGGCTGAGGCAGTAGGACTGCTTAAGCCCAGGAGTTTGAGGTTGCTGTGAGCTAGGCTGACGCCATGGCACTCACTCTAGCCTGAGCAACAAAGCGAGACTCTGTCTCAAAAAAAAAAAATAAAAAATAAATATCACAAAATGGCTGAATTATGAGATATATACACACCAGAATATTATGCAACCATGAATCACTGAAAAAAATGTGATATGTAAGCATTTATATATAAAATACGTTCATTGAGAAACCAGAAAAGCAGGATACAGAAGTATCCTAGCGATCCTAGTCCGCTGTAGCCTCCAACTCCTGGCCTCAAGAGATCCTCCCGCCTTAGCCTCCTGTTTCAGGTAATGGTACATGAACCCACGTAATTTGAAAGACAGCCACGCCCAGCTGATCTCCACTTATTCCCGTCACGTGACCGGCGCAAGTCGCTCAACGTCTCCAAGCGTTCGCTCCCCAGCAGGGCGGTAACCGCCGCCTCCCAGCGTTGCCATGGAGGTTAAACGGGATAACCTGTGTGGGGAGGGTTCACTACCGCGGCCCGTCCTCGCAGTGCGAGGTTCCTACATCAGGGGAGGATTCCCGCCTAGATCGGCTCCACGGCTCGCTCCCCGGAGGGGCGAGGGCCGCGAGGAGGGCGCTGGGCTCTCCCACTGAGCGGGCTCCCGCACCCGGGCCGCTCGGGGCAGCCAGTGCTTCCGCCTCCTTCCCGGCGGCCCCCGGGCGGGGGCGCGCACTTCGAATCAAAACGGCTCCGGGCGGAACGCGGCCGACGACGCGCAGGCCCAGAGGCTCCTCCCACCCCGCGCCGCAGAGCGCACTGGGCGAGCAGCGCCCGGCCGGCAGGGAAGGCCGCCTCGGCTCGGGCGCAGGGACACGCCTGCGCACTCGCCGCTCGCCGTCGGAGGGGCGGGGCCTCCTGAGGAGCGACAGGACGCGGTGCCAATCACCGGGCTGCTTCGCCCCGTGGCTCGGTTTGAAATTCTGCGGGCTCAACGGCTCGCGGAGCGGCTGCACGGAGCGAGTTCATCTGTCTTTGCGGTGGTTGCTGCGCGCGGGCCCGGGTGGAGCAGGTCGGGGGCCTCGACTCCCGGCTGCTTGGAGCGTCTGCCATGAGGAGAAGGTGCGGGGAAGTCGAGGGGACGCGGGAGAGAACGACGCCCATCCCGGGTGCGGGGTCCGAGGTGGCCCTCGGCCCGGGGGTACGGCGTCCCGGCAGCCCGCGCCGAGTGAGACCGGGGCTCGGCGCGGCCGTGCGGGGCCTGGAAGCGGTGAGCCGGGCCGCGGGTTCCCGCAGGCCCCGACGCGCTGGGCCGTCTGGTGCGGGTTGGACGCGGCGGCGGGCGAGCGGCGGCGCGGAGCTCCGGCGGGCTCAGCGCTCGCGCCCGGCAGCCCCACCCTCCGCCGGCGGCGTCGCAGGTGCCGCTCCTTTGGCTCGCTGTGAGTCCTGCGTCTTCTCTGGCCGTGGCTGCGCCTCTTTAAACGAAGTCTTGAAGTACATTTGTCATTTTTCTTTGTATCTGGCATTAGGTGTTATCATTTTTAATTTTTAATGTTAAGATAACTTTTTAATTTTCTTTTTGCTCAAGAAACTGAAATCTAGGTGTTATCATTTTATTGGATTGGGAAGATACCTTGGTTTCCTTGCAAGTTAAGAAACTCTTATTATGGAATCCTTTTTCTGTCGTTCTAACATCTTCCCAGGCAGTGCAGGGGAGGGACTGTCTTGAAATCGGGACCAGACGAGTGACATTGCCACCTGACAGCCTTGTGTCTTTGGACACGATATCAAATGTCAGTTTTCTCGTTTTTGAAATAAGAATAATCTCATGGGACTTTTGTGTTGAGAGGTATACAAATGTTAACTTTTCTGAAAGTAGTCAGTGAAGTATTGTGATGATTCCGTATTAAATAATTTGTAGTTATTAGTCGAAGTGATTACACTAAGGCTTTGTGAGATTCTTTGTTTCATGATTACTAATTCTGATCAGTCTTTTTCAAGTGCTTGCCTTGGGAAAATGGGAATTGAGTACAAATCATTGGTACCACTGGAAAAAATGAATTTGAGTATAAGGTCATGAACTACAAATATTTTATTATTTAAAGGACAGTATATTTAAGCTGCTGTGGGTTTAATGATGCATTCTGAGGAAGTAAAACCTTAAATGACATTTACAGGAAACTTATTCGAAGTCCATTAACAATTTATGGATTGTTCACACATCTTATGCTTTCAAAGGAGTGAATGAAGGGGGAGAAGAAGTGACCTGTTAACTTTGATTCCAGGCTGATGGAAATAATTCAACTTTTGTTCTGTTTTTTGGTTAAAGCTAAGTATTAATATATAGAATATAATTAGACTTTAAAACAGTAACTGGGAATACTTTACTAACCAAAACCAAATTTTGAGTAATCTGGATTTCAGGTATTAATACTTAGAAAGGACTGTGAGAAATAGGCCTCAGAGACATGATGATTATCAGTTTGGTCACTGAATGCTTTACTGATTCCTAAAACAGGGTGTATAGGAGATTAACAAAGCTCCTTCTCTGGATGACTGTCTAGGAACAACTTTAGGGGAGGGAAAGCTGAGAAATCATTTTTCAGAGCATTTTGAGATCTTTTCCAGTCTAGTGACTTAAGTTCAAGAAACTGGAAAAACTGGCTCATTTTGCAATCTTCGTGTCCTTGGTGGTATTCTTGTATACAGTCTAAAGTTTTTCAGTGACTTATTCTAAGGAAAAGAAAAATAACCTGAAATTTGAAAGACAGCATATAATTATACCCAGATAATTAGTGTTCACAATGATTGCTCTGAGGCATTTAAGATCATACAGTTTTCTTTCTTGCTTTCTTTTTTTTTTTTTTTTTGGAGACAGAGTCTTACTCTGTTACCCTGGGCTAGAGTGCTATGGCAACTGTTTGGCTCACAGCAACCTCAAACTCTTGGCCTCAGGCGATCCTCTGGCCTTAGCCTCCTGACTGCAGCACAGTACCCAACTAACTTTTGTATTTTTAATGGAGACAGGGTATCACTGTTGCCTCAGGGCTCAGGCTGGTCTCCAACTCCAGAGCTCAAAGCAATCCTCCCCCTCAGCTTCCCAGAGTGCTAGGGTTACAGGTGTGAGCCACCGTGCCTCACCTATCATACAGGTTTTTTTTTGTTGTTGTTTTTTTGAGACAGAGTCTCGCTTTGATGCCCACGCTAGAGTGAGTGCCTTGGCGTCAGCCTACCTCACAGCAACCTCAATCTCCTGGGCTCAAGCGATCCTTCTGCCTCAGCCTCCTGAATAGCTGGGACTACAGGCATTCGCCACCATGGCCAGCTAATTATATACATACATACATACATTATATATATATACATATATATATTGGTTGGCCAATTAATTTGTTTCTATTTATAGTAGAGACGGGTCTCTTGCACAGGCTGCTTTCGAACTCCTGACCTCGAGCAATCCGCCTGCCTCGGCCTCCCAGAGTGCTAGGATTACAGGTGTGAGCCACCACCCCCAGCCTATCATACAGTTTTTGGGGAAAAAAAAATCATTCACTCAAAAGTACTTGGATGTTATATATAAGGAACCATTGCAAGTGTTGGGGATATAGCATGAATAAAACTGACATCCTTGCCCTTATAGAGTTTACTTTCTAATAGCAAAAGGTCACAAATAAGTAAATCTTATATAAATGGTGTTAAGGGCTATGGAGAAAAAAATCAAGCAGAGAAAGGGGATAAGGAGTACTGAAAGTGTGGAAAGCGGAGTTGCAGTTTTAAAGAGATTGATCAGGAAGGATGTCTCTGAGAAGGTGATCTTTGGGCAAAGATCTAAAGGAGGTCAGGATGAAGCAATGCAGCATCTGGTCAAAGAGAGACCTAGGTAAAGGGAACAGCAAATACCAACGCCCTTAGGTGGGTTAGTGCCTGGTATGTTCCAAAAAGAGCTAGGAGGCAGCTGTGACTAGAGTAGAATGAACACTGAGGTCCGAAAGTAATGGATATCAGGTGGAATTGGTTTCTGTAGGCCTTTGGAAAGATAGAGGCTTTTTCCTCTGAGTGAGATGCAAGTCACTGGAGGGTTTTCAATAGAAGAAGGACTTGGAGTTCTTGTTTGACAGTAAACATAAGGAGGCCAGTTAAGAGGCCGTTGCAGTCCAGCAAAAGGCGATAGTAGATGGTAGCTGCAGGAGTGGGGAAGAGTGAGATACTCTGGCTGTCTTTTAAAGATAATGCAAATGGTGGGAATATATAAGAAAGGTGTCAAGTATGATATGAGAATTAAGTTCAATACAATTTGAATGTTGGGAAGAGTGGGAAATGTTAGTTTGTAATTCTTTAAAATTGTCATCTCATGAGAAATGTCTCTAACTAGAGTATTTGGTAATTCCAAACACCCATTTCCAACAGGACAAATAAAATTTGTTATATATAATATCAAAGAATGGTTAACTTTTTCTTTATAACAATTGTGTGTTATTACTTTTAGTTTGTGGCTCACCTGCTGGAGTTTAGCATCTTTCCATGTGCTTAGTGGCCATTTAAATGTTGTCTTTGGAGAAATGTTTGTTCATATTCTTTGCCCATTATGCCAGATTTTTTATTATTCAGAAAAATGATCACTTTACCGTCTGGCTATGTTACAGAAATACACGGCCCTGCCTGTAAACCTATTTGTCAGGATCTGAGAATGCATAAACTCTGAAGGCAGCCACAAGTTAGGAGCATAGGGAACCTCTGGCAGGATCAAGGCCATGCATTTTGCATTTTTTTTTTTTTTTTTGGAAGACAATGTCTGAGCATTTTGCATTTATTGAACAACTGTGCGTTAGAAAATGAAGATGCATAAGGTCCCTGTCCTTGAGTTTATGATCTGCGGGGGTAGTGATGGTGAGTGACAAGTCTACAGCTCTCTAGAGGAAGGGGTGACAGATGGAAATAACCACATTTGCAAAAGCATGGTGCCATCAGAAAATGAGAGCTGCATGTGTTTCCGTGAGGGGCACTGCTCAGGAAGTTCAGTTGGCTGGAGATTTGGGGAGTGACAGGTGGGAGGGATTAAGAGGTAAACCTGGAGAGAGGTTTTAGAAGGCCTTTCCTTGGAAGGTTTTGGAATTGTTTCCTGAGGGCAGTGGGAAGCCTGTGAGGGGGAGTAGTTAGGTAGGTAGGGTCCTGATGGATTTTGTTTTCATGAGAACCTAGCTGTGGAGATTGGCTAGACAGGCCAGTTAGGCAGCCTTTAAACTGGGAATTCATGGCTAGAGATATTTTGGGTGTGAATGTGTTTGGAGAAACAGAGAGAGCTAGGTTGGTGACTTGTAGAACCACTGAATGCTCTGAGACAGAAAGGGGCCAGTGAGAGCCTCTAGCCCTGTGGATAATGGACAGCACCTGAAGAGCTCAAGCGACTTATTTCTGAGCACATTGACGTTGTAGTTTCTCCAGTGCCAGAGCAGTCTTTGTTGTCCTGCTGTACCTCAGAAAATGGAGAAAAATCTCGTTCTTTAACTGTTCTATTAAAACGGACTAATTATAATTTTTGGAGTAAACTTTTTTAAAAGGTAAAATACAGGATGCCAGTTAAATTTGTGTTTCAGATAAACAATATTTTGGTTAAAATAAACTTTGCAATTGAAGAATAGCATATATGCAGGAATGTGCACAAATTGAGTGTAAATTCCATGGGTTTTCACAAAGTCAGTGCACCTACATAATCGGTACCCCAGAAGCCCTCCTTGTGCCCATTCCCAGTCACCACCTCCCCAGGGCAAAGGACCACTGTCGTGACTTACGATAGCATAGATTAGTTTTGCTTGTTTTTAAACTTTAGATCAGTGGAATCAAGGCCATACACTTTATTGAACAACTACTATGTGTTAGAAAGTGAAGATTCGTAAGGTCCCTGCCTTTGAGTTTATGATCTCCTGTGGGGTCCGCAGTGATACACACTTGCTTGTCTGGTGGCTTTTGCTCAGCCTAATGTATTTTTTCCTTCCTCTACAACTTTTTTTTTTAAGATTTAAGGTATATTTACATACAGTAAAACTGACTGATTTTACATGTGTGGTTTCTGTTGTATACTGTTATAATAATCACCATCAAGATCTAGAACCATTCCATTACCCCGAAAAATTTCTTGTGCCCTTTTGTGGTTGAACCCCTCCTTTGATCCCAGGGAACCACTAATTTGCTTTCTTTCACTATACTTTTGCCTTTTCTAGAATTTCATAAAACAGAATCATATAGTATGTAGTTCTTTGTGTTTGACTTCTTCCACTTAGCATAGCTCAACATAATGTTTTGAGCTTTATCAATGTTGTATGTAGTTAGTTCATTTTCACTGCTGCATTATTCCACTGTAGGAATATACTATTTCTCCATTCTGTTGATGAACATGTAGGCTCTCTTTGTTTCCATGCTGTTATGAGTGGTGCTCCTTTGACCATTCTTATGCAAGTCTTTGAACATATGTGTGCATTTCTGTAAGTATGTACATAGAGGTGGAATTGCTGGGTTCAGCTTTAGTGGATATTGTCAAAAGTTTTTAAAATAGTTGTACCAATTTTATGTACATGCCATACCAGCAGTGTATGAAAGTTCTGGCTTTTTGGCCGGGCACGGTGGCTCACGCCGGTAATCCTAGCACTGGGAGGCCAAGGCAGGCAGAGATTGCTCAAGGTCAGGAGTTTGAGACCAGCCTGAGCAAGAGCAAGACCCCGTCTCTACTACAAATAGACCAACTAAAAAATATATATAGAAAAAATTAGCTGGGCATGGTGGCACATGCCTGTAATCCCAGATACTCAGGAGGCTGAGGCAGTAGGGTTGCTTTGCTTGAACCCAGGAGTTTGATTTTGCTGTGAGTTTGGCTTCGGCCACGGCACTCACTCTAGCCTGGGCAACAAAGCGAGACTCTGTCTCAAAAAAAAAAAGTGGTTCTGGCTTTTCTACATACTCACCAACACTTACTATTGTTTGTCTTTTTAATTTTAGCCATTCTTTGGGTTTACCAGTTGTAATTTAAGAATAACAACAAAAAAAGCAATAAATGCCAGCTATCTTGTAGGAGCTTCTCATCAGCAATCTCTTGTATTAGTTTATTTGACTGACATTTTTGTCTGGTTTTTCTTTAATAAAAGCATTTATAATTCTGTATTATACTGCCATAGGTAGTGTTACCAAGCAACGGGCTTGCTGCCTGGCACGCATTGAAGCCGTACTGTGGCACTGGCTTGTGAGAAAAGAAAAAGCTTTATTTCAGGGACAGCTGGCCAGGCGACAGGAGGCAACACTCAAATCTGTCTCCCTGAACTGGGGTCTGGTGGCAGGTTTTATAGGCAGAGAGTAACTATGGGGGAGATAGGAAAATCCAATGAGATGTGTTGTGATTGGGTTATACAAAAGGGCGGTGCTAGGTTCTTGGCTCTTAGTTCAGACTGCAACAAAACAGGGTACCCTTTGCTGCTTAGTTCGTCCCTATTCCTCGATCTGAGTACTTAGGGTCTGCCTGTGATTGGCTTTTGTTCTAGCCAGCTTTGAGGTTACAAATTAGGCACATTTGGGTCATCTGGGCATGCTCAGCTTATGTGACTTGCAGGCTGGGGGTTCATCCCAACTGAAAAACCATCTCATTTTGTTACTGGCAAAGTTGAACCAAATTGGACTCGTTCTGTAACGACAGTAGAACATTAATAGAAGTCCAGATTGTTAGGATTACTCTGAATATTGAATTTCTACCACATGACATGATACTGAATTCTGCTTTGCTAGTGCTATGGCATTTGCTGGGGAGAAGGGAAGGGGAGTGGTTAAAAGTGAATTAAGGAGATTGCTTGTTTTCAATTTGTTTTGGCCTTGAGGTCACTGAGAAACTAGTCTATTCAGTTCCCAAATTCTTATCCGGGTGTGGTGGCTTGAGCCTGTAATCCCAGCTACTGGGAGGCTGAGGCAGGAGGATCACTTTAGCTCAGGAGCTGGAGGTTGCAGTGAGAGATGACTGATCCACTGTACTGTAGCCAGGGTGACAGAGTGAGACCTCAGCTCTTAAAGAAAATAAATACTGCTTTTAGTCTGAAAGCAGTGACTCATGTAACAGACCTCTTTTCTTGCTTTTCAGTGAGATAGTGGCAGAGGAGTCTATAGTATGTCTCCAGAGTGCCCTAAATCACCTTCGGGAAATATGGGAATTAATTGGGATTCCGGAGGATCAGCGTTTACAAAGAACTGAGGTTGTAAAGAAGCATATCAAGGTGAGTTAAGTAGTTCTGGTCTTTTTGCAGTGTAGGGGGGGTAAGGATTTTGGTGTTAGCACCTGATATAGCATCCAAAAATGACATCTGATCAATGGCGCTAGGATATCACAAGCTCATCCTGATTTTTTTTTTTTTAATCCTTCCTTGAAATTTTGAAATGATGAGAGTTTTGGTGTTGATGTTGGTTTTTTTCCCCGTGTGGCCCCAAACTTTTCTAGACTGTTTTCTCTCTTGTAGGAACTCCTGGATATGATGATTGCTGAGGAGGAAAGCCTGAAGGAAAGGCTTGTCAAAAGCATAGCTGTCTGTCAGAAAGAGCTGAACACACTGTGCAGTGAGCTACACGTCGAGCCGTTTCAGGTCCATGGCACTCCCTAGGGTCTTGGGGAAGCTGGCTTGGGTCTGAGATTTAGGATACATGAGCATTGCTTTGGGACTGCAGGTGGAAGTTTCCTGGTAGGGATGGTGCTAGATGTGAGAAGTGTGGGAAAGGTGTTGTCTAGTTAATAGTCACAGGAAAGGAATTTTCACATACATAGAGAATTGCTTTGTTGAGAGGTAAGGCAACTAATAGGTAATCAAAAACAAGTTGCTTTTTGCTATAGTTTTGCTTGAGAGGGCATACTGGTTTTTATAAACTCAGGAATAGGTAGGCACAGATGGTACTGTGCTGTTCTTTGTTTGAAAGAAAATGAAAAGAGGTATTAATACCTTGGAAGCAAAAGTAACTAGTGCTATAAGGGAATGTTCTTAAAAAAAAAAAAAAAAACCTTTCTGGTTTTTTATAGCCGGAAACTGCATACCACTGAAACCAGCCAAAATGGCTACTTCAGAATAAATGTCTCGTAAGCTGGAATATCAGGAGTGCATAGTCCAGTCCAGAGCATGCCATGATTATTTGTGTATATAGCTGCGAGGTTGCTATATGTGGTCCAGTGCTAGTTAGGGACTGATCAAATGAATAACAGATGGGGCCTGGAAACATATCTCTGCTTAGAACCAGTAAAAACAATGCCAGGATCATAGAAATTAGGACAGACGTGGAGCTTGGAAAGATAATACTGCACCCATAGGTTCTCAGGTCTCTCTCCCATTTTAACAACAAGAAGAACAACTTGGGTATCCACATGGAGACAGCCTAGAAGGGAGACCACCTTAAAGGGTTACGGATATTTCATATATGGCAGCCAAGAGCAATCGGACCATGACATCAGTGGAATTTCCTGGAATCAACATAAATGGCATAAATACAATTAATTTTGGACATCAAGTTTTTTTTTCTTTAGCCTTTTTAGCAGTAAGGCCTAAGAAAGCCTTTTTCCTTTTTAACTTTCAATGAGAAATTAGGTGAGAAGTTAGGTGTGTACAGTAATACATCTCCCTAAGTTACCTGACAGTGCCTATTTCACCAATGTTAAATTCTATAAATTTTATAGGACATATATTAATAACTGCCACTTTTTCTCTTTTTACCAATTAGGAAAAGAGCAGCAACTACTAAATGGATTTTTACTGGTTAAGTGATGGTGATAGGATTATTAGGATGAGCATTTAGCTATGAGCTAGGTGTGCCATTCGACAGCTAAGCTTTCCAACCCATTTAAAGAGCCCTGATTCATAGAGTAGTCAAATTCATAGAGACAGAAAGTAGAATGGTAGTTGCCAGGGGGTTGGGGAAGGAAAAAGTGGGGACTTGTTAAATGAGTGTGAAGTTTCACTTTGCAAGATGAAATGAGTTTTGGAGATGGATGATGGTGATGGCTGCACACAATGATATGACTGTACTTAATACCACTGAACTGTACACTTTAAAATGGTTAAGATGGGCTGGCCACAGTGGGTCACGCCTGTAATCCTAGCACTTTGGGAGTCTAAGGCAGGAGAATCACTTGAGCCAGGAGTTTGAGACCAGCCTAGGCAACATAGTGGGACCTTGTCTTTACAGAAGGTTAAAAAAAAAAAAAAAAAAACTTAGCCTGTAGTCCCAACTACTTGGGAGGCTGAGGCGAGAGGATCACTTGAGCCTAGTGAGCTATAATCAGGCCACTGTATCCCAGCCTGGACAACAGAGTAAGACCCTGTCTCAAAAAAATAAAGTGGTTTAGATGGTAAACTGTATGTTACATGTACCGTGTCTCCCCGAAAATAAGATCTACCCATAAAATAAGCCCTAGCAGGATTTCTAAGCATTTGCTCAATAGATGCCCTACCCTGAAAATAAGACCTAGTGATGGGCGTGGCTACGCAGCGTATCTGCACAAACCATGCATTTCGTTGTGGAACGGTAAAGAAGTTGAGCAGCTCTTCTCATCTGCCCCATGAGAGCTCTCTTGCTCGACATGAGACATTGGGGCCAATGGTTCTAAAGGAAATAGAGTCACAAGAAATTCAGGATGGAATTCGGGGTTTGGAGAGTTATGATGATGTTCCAGAAGAAGACAACTTAACTATATTTGAATAAATGTAGATTGTTGTACTGTACTTAAAAAAAATAACACATCCCCTGAAAATAAGCCTTAGGGTGTCTTCTTGAGGAAAAATAAATATAAGATTCTATCTTACTTTCGGGGAAACACGGTATTTTACCACAGTTGTAAAAATTGGAAAAAAACAAGTGTCTTGGTACCTAATTCACCTTTCCTTTCTGGGGACCTTCCTTAGGAGGACCTCTTTGAGCCATATTCTGTTGGCCATAAGTTAACTTATTTGTAGGTTTACAAATAAAAATCTGTCATCCTAGCCCTCTTCCATTGTCCTTCCCTTCCTTTGAAGGAATTCACTTGTAACCTTATCAATGGTACATTGCCTTATACAGGAAGAAGGAGAGACGACCATTTTGCAACTAGAAAAAGATTTGCGTACCCAGGTGGAATTGATGCGAAAACAGAAAAAGGAGAGAAAACAGGAACTGAAGCTACTTCAAGAACAAGATCGAGAACTATGTGAAATTCTTTGTATGCCCCACTATGTTGTTGACAGTGCCTCAGTTCCCAGCTTAGAAGAGCTGAACCAGTTTAGACAACATGTGGCAACTTTGAGGGAAACAAAGGTATACAGCTTACAGTCATACTTCCTAAAAGTCAGTTTGGCTTTCCTCTGGGTGCCATTAACTTTTGTTTTATAGGCATCTCGGCACCAGGAGTTTGTCGACATAAAGAAACAGATCATACTGTGTATGGAAGAATTAGATCACACTCCAGACACAAGCTTTGAAAGAGATGTGGTGTGTGAAGATGAAGATGCCTTCTGTTTATCTTTGGAGAATATTGCAACACTACAAAAGTTGCTACGGCAGGTAACAAATTATGGCCTGGGGTCTCTATTGTACACAGCAGTTTGAAAAAACAGACATTTTTTTTCTTTAGTCTTAAATAAGGAGCCAATGTAAAATTAAGAGAATGAGAGAGAGAATAAGGATGGTAATATATTCAACTTTTTTTTTTTTTTGAGACAGTCTCACTCTATTGCCCAGGCTAGAGTGCCATGGCGTTAGCGTAGTCTCACAGCAACTTCAAATCTGGCCTCAAGCGATCCTCTGCCTCAGCCTCCAAGTAACTAGACTACAGGCATGCACCACCTGCCACGCTAATGTTTTTCTATGTATTTTTAGTTGGCCAATTAATTCTTCTTATTTTGGTAGAAGGTCGTCGCTCTTGCTCTAGCTGGTTTCAAACTCCTAACCTTGAGTGATCCGCCCACCTCAGCCTCCCAGAGTTCTAGGATTACAGGCGTGAGCCACTGGGCATGGCCTGTATACAATGACTTTTTTTTTTTTTTTTTTTGAGGACAGAGTCTCACTTTGTTGCCCAGGCTAGAGTGAGTGCTGTGGCGTCAGCCTAGCACTCAGCTCATAGCAACCTCAAACTCCTGGGTTCCAGCAATCCTACTGCCTCAGCCTCCCAAGTAGCTGGGACTACAGGCATGTGCCACTATGTCCGGCTAATTTTTTTTCTATATATATTAGTGGCAATTAAATTTATTTCTATTTATAGTAGAGAGGGGTCTCACTTGCTCAGCTGGTTTCAAACTCCTGAGCTCGAGCAATCCACCCGCCTCGGCCTCCCAGAGTGCTAGGATTTACAGGTGTGAGCCACCGCGCCGGCCAACTTTGATTTTTTTTTTAAACAAAACTTATATGTAGCTCTAAGAATATGAAATTGAAATTTTGGATGAAATAATATTAGTTATTTGAATTAGCCTAGTGTTTGTTTATTTATTTATATTTGAGAAGAAAAGAGAAGTTTATTAATTTGCCAACAAAGAGGAGGTTGGCAGAGTCCTGTCTCAAAGTACTAACATTCCTAGCCTAGTGTTTAATTAAAATTTTTTTCAATTCAAAATTTAAATCCTAATTGTTGGGTTCTGAAATCCTTCCATAAAGACTTCTTATAGCTTGTGTTCAGGAGGCATGAAAACACACCTATTCAAAATCTTGTCAAAGTGCTTCCTCCATATGGGTCCAGGCATTTTTTTGTGGGCGGCCAGAAGCTGCTAGCCTGCCCTGTGCCCTGTGTTTTGCTGTAAGTAACCAATGGCTTTCCTTGCAATAGCTGGAAATTCGAAAATCACAAAATGAAGCTGTATGTGAAGGACTCCGTGCTCGAATTCGAGAGCTCTGGGACAGGTTGCAAATACCTGAAGAAGAAAGAGAAGCTGTGGCCACGGTTATGACTGGGTCGAAGGCCAAGGTCAGGAAAGCGGTAAGAAACCCCGTGGGTGCTAGGTCAGCACTCTTCTGCAAGCATGTCTGTGTCCAATCTGATGTCCTTACCAACTTCTGCCTTGGGCCAGCCTATTTTTAAGGGTGACAGTACCCTGCTTATCTTCTGTCTTCTGTGTTCCTTAGATTTCTGGCTCCGATAATATCATTGTTATAAAGATTGTTAATCTTTATTAACTCTGTGGCTTTGTGTTTTATTGTGTTTTTCTTTTTTGAGAAAAAGAAAAAGACTGGGTCTTGCTCTGTTGCCTGGGCTAGAGTGCCTTGATGTCATGATAGCTCATTGTACCCTCAAACTCTCTTGGGCTCAAGTGATCCTCCTGCCTCAGTAGTAGCTGGGACTATATGCACGTGCCACCATGCTTGGCTAATTCTTGTAGAAACAGTCTCTGTTGCTCATGCTAGTCTTGAACTCTTGGCGTCAAGCAAGCAATCCTCCCGCCTCGGCCTCCCAAAGTGCTGGGATTACAGGTGTGAGCCACCATGCTCAGCCTGTATTGTAATTTTATTAAAAAGGGGAGAAACTGTTGGAAACCTAAGTGAATTTAAATGTGTGACAGCCACCTTTAACAGGTCTCTTTCTTTCAGCTGCAATTAGAAGTGGATCGGTTGGAAGAACTGAAAATGCAAAACATGAAGAAAGTGATTGAGGCAATACGAGTGGAGCTGGCTCAGTACTGGGACCACTGTTTTTACAGCCAGGAGCAGAGACAAGCTTTTGCCCCTTACTATTCTGGTTAGTACAGAATTGGTGGACTTCATATGGCCTGCTCCTTGTTCTATTATAAGGCTGGACATTCAGCAGGAAGTGTTTCCTCTTCTGAACAGATATAGCCACCTTTTCAAGCCATTCTGCATAATGCCGTTCCTGTACAAAAGGGACGTTCCTGTTCATAAGCATTGCAAATGCTTATGAAGTTCATAAGCATTTGCAAATGCTATTGGGAAATATGGGTTTCTTGCTTTCTGAAGTGGTATATCACTTTAGCCTCCAGCTGTGAAGCTCAAGTTTATTCTATACCAGGCACCATGTCAAACCCTTAACATCAGTATTTCACTTAATCTTCATGTCAAGAGATGAGGACAGGCTGGGCAAGGTGGCTCATGCCTATAATCCTAGCACTCTGGGATGCTGAAGCAGGAAGATTGCTTGAACTCAGGAGTTTGAGACCAGCCTGAGCAAGAGTGCGACCCCCTCTCTACCAAAAAGAAAGAAAAAAAACCCAGCCTAGTGTTGCAGGGCAGGCCTGTAGCCCCATGTCCCCGGGGGGAGGCTGAGGCAGGAGGATTGATTCAGCCCAATAGTTGGAGGTTGCAATGAGCTACAATTACGCCACTGCCCTCTACCCAGAGCTATAAAGGGAGACCCTCTCAACAAAAACAAACAAGGCAGCTGAACACAACCCCTACCCCTACCCCTATTTAAAAAAAAAGATGAGGACAGTAAGGCATGTGAATGTTAAGCAACTTAGCTTGGAGGCATATAGCAGGTAAATGCTAGAGCCTATGTGTGAACCCTAAAGAGTTTGACGCCTAGAGCCCAGTGGGATTCTAGTCTGACCTGAACTGAATATAAAGATAAAGCTGTCCCAACTAAATTCACCAAGTGTTTCTGGACATTTTCTGTAACCTAACCCTCTGTTGGCTGGGCAGAGTGGAAAGGTAGAATGAGAAAGAAACCTATGACAAGGCAAGAGAAGACACAGATTTTCAAGACTATTAATCATTTTAGTCCATGCCCTACTCTTTATTCCTAGTCCCCCCAGGCTGATTGTGATAACCTGGCTTTTGTTAGCCATAATTAATGTTTGTATTTATTCCTATATTATTTTGTTGTAAGAAAAAAATCTATTTCAGGGGAGTGGGGGATTAGTAAATTGGGATACTAAACGCCAGAGGAAGCTTTAAAAACCACTGGGCCTGTGTTTTGCAGACGACTACACAGAAGATCTGCTCCAGCTCCACGATGCTGAGGTGGTGCGGTTAAGAAACTATTATGAAGTTCATAAGGAACTCTTCGAAGGTGTTCAGAAGTGGGAAGAAAACTGGAGGCTCTTCTTAGAGTTTGAGGTACTGCCCAAGTTTTTGTCTGTTTTTGTTTTCTCTAGAATAAAAAGAAGTGTCAAGAAAGCACGCCCTGTACACACAGTCAGAATCCAGTTTCCTTTGTTCTTCACCAGGCTTTTTTTTTTTGAGACAGAGTCTCACTCTGTTGCCCAGGCTACAGGCTAGAGTGAGTGCCGTGGCATCAGCCTAGCTCACAGCAACCTCAAACTCCTGAGCTTGAGCAATCCTGCTGCCTCAGCCTCCCGAGTAGCTGGGACTACAGGCATGAGCCACCATGCCCAGCTAATTTTTTTATTATATATTAGTTGGCCAATTAATTTCTTTTTATTTTTTATAGTAGAGACAGGGTCTCGCTCTTGCTCAGGTTGGTTTCGAACTCCTGACCTTGAGCAATCTGCCTGCCTTGGCCTCCCGGAGTGCTAGGATTACAGGCGTGGGCCACCGTGCCCGGCCTTCACTGGGCTCTTGATACCCTGTCTTTATCGTTAAGTCTCTCTGAATTAGTGCTAACCATCTGTATTTCTTAAGCGTACAGGCAAGAGCATAAAAGAGCATACCCAAAATTAATGGCTTAAGTAAGGGAGCTGTTTCTTGTACAGAGGAAGCCTAGAAGTGGCAGGTGGTGCAGGTTAGTCGTGGCGGTTTGTGACATTGAGCAGGGCCCCAGGTTTCCTCAGCTCAGAGCTCCTCCACCACCAAGGGTGGACCTTATGCTCAGGGCAAGATGGCAGCTAGAGCTCCTTCCCTAATGGTCACATTTCAGACATCACAGTGGAGGAAGGCACAAAGAAGGCATTGCCCCTAAACCCCTTTAAGAGTTTTCCCAGGCGCTCTTCGCAGCACCTCTGCTTATGTGCCATGTCAGCTGCCAGGGACGCTGGGTGAATCAGCGCCCCAGGTAAATTCTGATTCTGTTACTAAGGAGGAGGAGAAGAATGGATGTTGGGGCAAGCAATTAATACTGTCTACCATTCCAGCTTTTGCTGCTGTCTTTAAAAATGGCCTAGGTATTAGGGCACATCTGTATACTCTGAATTCCTTTTCTTCTCATAGACTACCCACAGGTGCCCTCAGAGCCTTTGATTGATTGACAGACTCTCACTCGTTGCCCAGGCTAGAGTGCAGTGGTGTCAGCCTAGCTCACAGCAGTCTCAAACTCCTGGGCTCAGGTGATCCTCCTGCCTTAGCCTCTCAAGTAGCTGGGACTACAGGCACGAGCCACCATGCCTGGCTAACTTTTTGTATATATTTTTAGTTGGCCAATTAATTTCTATTTATAGTAGAGATGGGGGTCTCACTCTTGCTCAGGCTGGTTTTGAACTCCTGACCTTGAGCCATCTGCCCGCCTCGGCCTCCCAGAGTGCTAGGATTGTAGGCGTGAGCCACCATGCCCAGCCTCTCAGAGCCTCGTAAAGCTTGGGGTTGGGGCTGGCAAGGCAAGTGAGGCATCTAGGACACAAGTTTAAGGACACCTGTGCTCAGGTTCATGCTTGAAGGGGCCTTTAGAGAATCTTTAATTCAGCTCCTTCAAGTTTACAGGCAGGAAACCTAGGACTCAGAAGTGGAGAGCACTGGGATATCTTATAGCTCTTTAAGAATAGGTATCCTAGTCCTTAGTTATTACTTATTTCTGGTTAAAAGCAAGAAGGAGCAAGAGCATGAATAAAGAGCTAAAGTAGCAACCCTTGTTGAATAAAATAAGAAATGAGTTGCCATCCTCTCTGGTTACTGTTTATAGGCTGTCACCAGTCAAGTGTGGGAGGGAAATAGTTATTTATTTATTTATTTTTCGAGACAGTCTTTCTCTGTTGCCCAGGCGCTAGAGTGCTGTGGCATCTGCCTAGCTCACAGCAACCTCAAACTCCTGGGCTGAAGTGATCCTCCTGCCTTAGCTTCCCCAGGAGCTGGGACTACAGGCACACACCACTGTACCTGGCTAATTTTTTTTTCTATTTTTAGTTGAGACAGGGACTCACTCTTGCTCGGGCTGGTCTTGAACTTCTGAGGTCAAGCGATCCTCCCACCTCAGCCTCCCTGAGTGCTAGGGTTACAGATGTGAGCCAGCACACCCAGCCTATACACCTAATTTATAATTATAAATTATGTACTTGTATTACTGTTCTGATATACTGTGTACATTATAAAATAACAAAAAACAGGCTGGTCTGAGTGCAGTGATGTTTACAACTAATTGATCACAACCAGTTACAAATTTCTTTGTTCCTTCTCCACTCCTGCTGCTTCTCTTGGCTAACAAAAAAAAAAAAAAAAAAGTGTAAACCCTTCCATCCCTCCATATACCTTGTGTCCCCAAATCACATTTAATCATCTGACATCCAAACCAAGAAGGGGAGCCAATGATATTGTTAAATATTAGAGTCTGGTATTTTAGAGTAAAAAGGAAGTATCTTCCTGCACCCCAGTAAATGATCTGCTGGTGCCTGGGAGTGCCCCACAGCTCATTGCCTGGCTTCAGAAAGCCACCATTTTTCACTCCTGAGAGTGGATGGGCATGTAAAATACTCTTAAGTCACTTTAATAATATATATCATTTTATGAGAGCAAAGGATCTTAACACAAGTTATTGGTCTGACTATGCCAGGTTTTACTCTAATTAAAATATACCTTTCACAGAGAAAAGCTTCAGATCCAAGTCGATTTACAAACCGGGGAGGAAATCTTCTAAAAGAAGAAAAGCAACGAGCCAAGCTCCAGAAAACGCTCCCTAAGGTAATACTGGTTCTTGGCTGCAAAATACCTCACTTTTTATATATTCTTTGTTTTGTATTGTTTTGCCCCAAAACTGTATTCTCTTCCAAAGCTTAGCAGGGATAACTATATGTTGGGCCTTCAGTATAAGCAACTATCTGTTGTGTAGGTGTAATACACCTGTCGAGGTATATTAGTTTACTAGGGCTGCCGTAGTAAAGCAGCGCAGACTGGGTGGCTTTGACAACTGTAATATTTTCTCTCTGTTCTGGCAGCTGGAAGTCTGAAATCAAAGTGTCACTGGCAGAGTTGGTTTCTTCTGGGACCTCTCTCCTTGGCTTATAGATGGCCATCTTCTCTTCCCTGTGTGTTAACGTGGCCTCTGCATGTGTCTGTGGCCTAATCACACTGGTCCTGTTGGATTAGGGCCCACCTAATGACCTCATTTTAGCTTAATTACCTCTTTAAAGATCCTGTCTCCAAATACAGTCACATTCTGAGTTACTAGGGGTTAGGGCTTCAACATACAAATTTTGGGAGAATGCAGTTCAGGCAATAACATGAGACAAGCTTTCGAGAAAGTACTGTGGGCTTCATTACCATTTTCTATTTTAATAATAACGTTTATTAAGTGTCAGATACTATTTTTAAAGTGTTTTCATTTGTATAATCCTCACAATATCCCTATGAGTTTGGTATTATTTCCATTTTTACAGCTGAGAAAACTGAAGTACTGGGAAGTTAGGTATATTTGCCCGCCTTCTCACAGTAAGAGGTAGATAGATCCCAGATTGGAACCCAGATAGTCTGACGCCACAGTCCTCCCATGAACGTATGCTGCCTGTTTAACGTCGCTGCACCTCCCCAGCACTTCCCCCGCCGTGTGCACTGAATCCCGAGTGGTCAAACTCTGGGACCTTTGCCACTTGCGTGTATATTGAGAATGAACCAACCCTAGGCTTTGATTTCTGGTCACTCTGGCCTGTACCCATGTGTGTCCAGCTCCCTGAAGTTAGGCTAATGAAGTAATTAACATGTCCTTATTTCTGGTCTCAGCTGGAAGAGGAGTTAAAGGCACAAATTGAAATGTGGGAACAGGAACATGCACAGGCATTTGTGGTGAACGGGCAGAAATTCATGGAGTATGTGGCAGAACAATGGGAGATGCATCGATTGGAGAAAGAGAGAGCCAAGCAGGAACGAGTAAGTGTGAGCACAGATGGGAAAGGCAGATGGTAACTTGAGCAGCCCAGAATCTCTGCCATTGATCAGAATTGGTTGAAGAACAGGGAGCCCTTGGTAGCTCTTTTTATAATATTGCTGGCTACCGAGAGAGGAGGCCCAAGATTTCTGGCCCTCCTCCTGTTCCCATCCAGACCTGTTCGCTTCCTGGGATTTACCACTCTTCCTTTTTACTTTCACACAGCAAATCAAGAATAGGAAGCAGACGGAGACAGAGATGCTCTATGGAAGTGCCCCCCGGACACCCGGCAAGCGGCGAGGACTGACACCCAACACTCCAGGCAAAGTGCGCAAGGTACGCTTGAGGCCTGGCGAAGCACTGTTGACAAGGGAGTGCTGAGGCCGAGTTCTTGGCCATCTCTTGCCCTCTCAAGGAATGGCCAGCTTTCATGTGCCAGTTGTTGAGTCTTCGTCTTAATCTCAGGGAGGCCAATAATTGCCAACATTCCGGTGATAACAGAACGAGTCAGAGGCTCATCATCCTCTAATTCCAACAGGTGACCATGGTACTATGTGAAAGACAATGTTCATGCCTAATAAATGGAGTATTTATTACTTTATCTCCAGAAAAAGAAGTCAGGGAATATTTTTTTCCTTTTTTTATTTTTGATAAAGTAGAACATGTTTTCTCTTTTCCCTCTCCTCAACTTGTGTTTTGTGTAATTTTTTTTTTTTTTTCCCCCTCAAGACAGGAGTCTGTTGCCCTGAGTGTCATGGCATCAGCTTAGCTCACAGCAACCTCAAACTCCTGGGCTCAAGCGATCCTCCTGCCTCAGCCTCCCAAGTAGCTAGGACTATAGGTGCGCACCACTGCGCCAGCTAACAATATTTAGTAGAGAATCCTCGTCTTGCTGAGGCTGGTCTGCAACTCCTGAGCTCAAGTGATCCTCCCACCTCGTCATCCCAGAGTGCTAGGATTACAGGCACGAGCCACCACGTCCAGCCTCAACTCGTGTTTTATGACATATACAATGTTTAAAAAAACACCTGTGGTATAACTCAGAGAACCACTGAGAATATTTCTATCTTTTTCCCCCACTTGATATTGGTTATTTTTTCATAGCAGGAAACTGTCTTCAAATACATTCTATGAGCTTGTATCTACCCTCTTAGATAATTCTGTCATTTATTAAACTAGTTTCCAGCCGGGTGTGGTGTCTCACACCTTTAATCCTAGCTCTGTGGGGAGACCAAGGCAGGCAGATCGCTCAAGGTCAGGAGTTCAAAACCAGGCTGAGCAAGACCCCATCTCTACCAAAATAAAGAAATTATTGACACTAAAAAATATATATACCAAAAAATTAGCTGGACGTGTGCACATCTGTAGTCCCAGCTACTTGGGAGGCTGAGGCCGTAGGATCCGGTCTGAACCACAGGAGTTTGAGGTGCTGTGAGCTAGGTGACGCCACGGCAATCACTCCTAAGGCCTGGACGCAACGAAAGTGAGACTCTGTCTCAAAAAAAAAAAAAAAACTGGTTTCCTATTGTTTGCTGTTAGGTAGTTAATTTTTATGATGAAAATAATCTGGTGAACTTTTAAAAACATACAACACTAAAATAAATACTAGAAAGATTTAATTCAAACTTTGAGAACTTCTGTATCACATGCTGAGAATACAAAGAATGTGAGGCCAAGCCCTTGCCTCAGAGTGGCTTATTCAGCTGGGGGGTGCAGTGCTCCCATGTTTGGTTAAATTCTACACTTAGGATGCCAAGGTGGGAGGATTGCTTGAGGCCAGGAGTTTGAGACCAGCCTGGACAACATATCAAGACCCTGTCGCTTAATAAATAAAACAAGTGCTGTATTCAAATTGTGTTCTAAAGTCCACAGATGCACTCATAGAGTCTTATGGTCCGAATTGTTATTAACAATTTATGTGTGCACTGGTAGTGGCTCCGTTTTACAGTGGCTCCAGTTCTTGCCAATACTGCGAGTTTTCTGACTTGGTTTATTTTTGCCCATTCAATGGGTATGAATTAATGTCTTCTGATTTTACTTTGCATTTCTGTCATTAGTGGTGAAATGGCACCTTGTACTATGTTCATACCTTTTTGGATTTCTTTTTCTGAGAAGTATTTTGACAGTTTTTCTATAGGTGTATTTGTATTTTTCTTACAGATTTTATAGGAAATCTTGGTATGTTCAGGATGTGACTCCCTTGTGAGCTGTGTCACGCTAGGTTTGTCTCTTTTTATTCTATACGGTATTTTTGTGTTTTGATGAAGAAAGTTGTTTTCAATCTATTTTATAGTTTGGGTTTTTTTGTTTTTTTTTTTTTTGAGACAGAGTCGTACTTTGTTGCCCAGGTTGGTGGGAGTGCCGTGGGCACTCAGCCTATGCTCAACAGCCACCCTCAAACTCCTGGGCTCAGGCAATCTTCCTGCCTCTAGCTCCCAAGTAGCTGGGGACTACAGGGCATAGTGCCACATAGCCATGGCTAATTTTTTCTAATAATATTCATAGTTGGCGCAATTAATTTTCTTTCTATTATATAGTAGAGACGGGGTCTTGCTCTCTCAAGGTTGGTTTCGAAACTCCCTGACCTCGAAGCAATCCGCCCTGCCTTGACCTCCCAGAGTGGCTAGGATTACAGGCGTGCAGCCACCGCCGCCAGCCTTATTTTTTGTATCCTTTAAGAAAATCCTGCGGGGCTGTGGCTCATAGCTTATCCTACTCTCTGGAGGCCGAGGCGGGCGGATTGCTCAAGGTCAGGAGTTCAAAACCAGCCTGAGCAAGAAGCGAGCCCCTGTCCTACTTAAATGAGAAAGAAAATTGGCCATTCACTGATATGTATTAAAAATTAGCGGGCATGTGGCACATGCCTGTGTACCAGCTCACCTCGGCGAGGCTGAGCAGTAGTTGCTCGGAGCCCAGGAAGTTTTGAGGTTGCTGTGAGGCTAGGCTGACCACGGCACCATCTTACGGACAACAAAGCGAGACTCTTAAAAAAAAAAAGAAAACAGAAATCTTCTCACTGAATCCACAGATTTTCCGCTGTCGTTGTTTTCCCAGTCTGCCTTCTGTATCAAATGGCTTGTTGCATTTCCCATTATAGGTTTAGCCCAACAACGTCTCACTTCCCATGTTCAGGCTAGAGTGCTGTGAGTGTCGCCAACTCACCAGCAACCTCAAAACTCCTGGCATGCTCTCTGCCCTCAGCCTCCAGTAGCTAGGACTACGCGTGAGCCAACCATGCTCAGCAATTTTTACTATATTTATTTTATTAGTTGCCAATTAATTTCTTTCTATTTAATAGTAGAGTGTGGGTCATCAGCTCGTTAGCTCGGCTGGTTTCAAACTCCTGCCCGATCTACACCGCCTCAGCCTCCCAGAGTGCTAGGATTACAGGCATGAGCCACCATGCCCAGCCCACCTAGAATATTTTTCCTAGCACTCTGGGAGCGAGGCGTGGATTGCTCGAGTCAGGAGTTCGACCCAGCTGAGCAAGAGCAAGACGCATCTCTACTATAAATAGAAAGAAATTAATTGGCCAATTAATATTATATAGAAAAAATTAGCAGACATGGTGGCACATGCTGTAGTCCCAGCTACTCGGGAGGCTGAGGCAGGAGGATCGCTTGAGCCCAGGAAGTTTGAGGTTGCGTGAGTAGGCTGATGCCACGGCAACTCACTCTAGCCTGGCAACAAATGAGACTCTGTCTCAAAAAAAAAAAAAGTTTATAGCTTTATGGAATATCATTAGCCTGTGATATTTAAAGTTTTGATATGTGTACACAGTAAAATCACCGTAATCAAGATGATGAACATATTCATGACCCCAAAGTTTCCTAGTGCCACTTTGTATTCCTTCACTCTCCTACCCTGGTTCTCCCAAGCCTGTCTAGCACAGGATTAAAACTGTCAATAAATGAGTATTGCATTTAAACATAATTCTTTAGAAACAGGGTCTCATTCTCTCACCCAGATTGGAGTACATGGGTGCCGTCACAGCTCATTACATCCTTCAACTCCCAGGCTCAAGTGATCCTCTTGCCTCAGCCTTGAGAATAGCTAGAACTACAGGCGAGAGACACCATACCTGGCTAATTTTTTTTTTTTTTTGGTAGAGAAGGGTCTTACCATGTTGCCCAGGCTGGTCTTGAACTCCTGGGCTCAAGCAATTCTCCTGCCTCAGCTTTTCCAAAGTGCTGGAGTTACACACTTGAGCTACCATGCCTGGCCTCAAACATTTTATATAAATAGAATCATACAGTATGTATTCTTTGTTGTCTGGGTTTTTGTTTAGCATAACTTTGAGAGTTATCTGTGTTGTTGCATGTATCCAGTGGTCACTTGTTTTTAGTGTTGATCCGCAGTCCATTGTGTGACTGTAGGTTTGCTTGTCCATTCACCTGTTGATGGATATTTGGTTGTTTCTAGCTTTTGGCTATTGTGATAATACTGCTATAAACATTTATGTCTGAGTCTTTGTATGAATATATGCTTTCATTTTTGGGGGTAGACACCTAGGAATGGAATGGCTGGGTCATATGATAGGTGTCCTGTGCTGTAAGTGGTTGTACCATTTTATAGTTCCATCTGTTGGATGTAAATAAGTTTTGAAAACTTTTCACAGGTTTCCTCAGAGCTATACATTAGACACAGTAGGGTTTCCCCACATAACTCCATCTTTCTTGGACTGCTTCCCATACTCATTTCTTGGCAGGGTCGTAATAGGTTGCTCAAAATGCTGAGCATGTCATCACACATCAGTAATCTACCTGTTCTTTTCCTTAGCTGAACACTACCATCATGTCCAATGCTACAGCCAACAGTAGCATTCGGCCTGTGTTTGGGGGGACAATGTACCGCTCCCCTGTGTCTCGGCTGCCGCCTTCTGGCAACAAGGTAAGTATGCTGTGTGTAAGCACATCGCCACGCACTGTCCTGGCCTCTTTACTTGGAGGCCCCACCTACTTGTTGTAGTTTCTAAGATCCTTGCCTTCAGTCATCATTGACATGCTGAGAGTTGATAGATGTAAGCTTGTGAAATATTAGATAATGAGCAAAAAAAGGACAGTCACTCCGAGCCCCACTGGTACCATGGGAAGTACAGGGATGTGTCTGGGAAACTGAAGGTCAGGCACTGGTCTCTGTGGGCTCAGTTCCATGCTCAGTCTTCAGCTGGTGCTGAGCTAGGTCCCCCTGCACGAAGGTTCCAGTCCAGTGACAATGATCCATCAGACACAGACAGGTAGGTACTAAGAAGAAGAGACATGGGAAGCATGGGCTAAAATATTTTATTAGGCTATGCTCAGGTGTTCTGTCAATCATTAAGAATTCCTATATTTTTAAACAAAAGCATAAGATTATAGACATACAAGTAATATAAAGATGGTATCGGCTAGGCGTGGTGGCTCACGCCTGTAATCCTAGCACTCTGGGAGGATCGCTCGACCTCAGGAGTTCAAAACCAGCCTGAGCAAGAGTGAGACCCCGTCTCTACTATAAAATAGAAAGAAATTAATTGGCCAACTAATATATATATAGAAAAAACTAGCCGGGCATGGTGGCGCATGCCTATTAGCGAGACATGGTGGCGCATGCCTGTAGTCCCAGCTACTCGGGGGTGCTGAGGCAGTTAGGATTGCTTGAGCCCGGGAGTTTGAGGTTGCTGTGAGCTAGGCTGATGCCATGGCACTCACTATAGTCTGGGCAACAAAGCGAGACTCTGTCTCAAAAAAAAAAAAAAAAGAAGATAGTATCAGCCCTTGACCATTTAGGGGGTTTCGCGTGTGTGCGTGTGTACATCTTCATCATAGGAATGATATATGGCTCTATCCTTTCTCTGCAGCCAGTTGCCACTTCCAGCTGTTCAGGGAAAAAAACACCCCGTGCCGGGAGGCATGGAGCCAACAAGGAGAACCTGGAGCTCAATGGCAGCTTCCTGAGCGGTGGGTACCCTGACTCGACCCCCCTCCAGCGCAACTTCAGCATTAATTCTGTTGCCAGCACCTATTCTGAGTTTGCGGTAATTCACCTTTTCTAATATCTACCAGTCTCTGGGGAGCACACAGTTGGGGCAGCGTGGGTATCTTCCCAAGGGGGCATCCAGGCTATTACTAATAGGTAGGGCAGTTAGTTACCTTGGAGGCTGAGAATCCCTTTCCTGCCTTGACCCTTGTGGGAGTGGGGATGGTTTAAGGGGGTATATAGGAAAGAAGTTGGCAGCAACAAGTAGACATTTAACCTGGATCCTTCTGCTTCATATATACCATTCCCTGGCTGCAGGAGGTGACCTCCTCTAATCACTGGCCTGGTGCTCTCTTGGTGGAGATCTTGGTAATTGTCTTAATTCTTTGTTCTTAGAAGGATCCGTCCCTCTCGGACAGTTCCACTGTTGGGCTTCAGGTCTGTATGGCAACCCCTGCATGTCCCACATCCCTTTTCTAAACTGATCTGTCATCTGCTGGCTTCATTCCCATCTGGGCGTAGGGCTACACTAACCAACAATCTCAGCTATATTAACGTAGAACCTTTTGTATAAAGGAAGTGGGAATTCCTATCATGGACTACAAATAAAAAATACCTGGTTTATGTTCCCAACAGATTTACTAACCTGCTGATTAATAGGAAAACTTACTCAGACTTGAATTGGATTCTCAGCCCCACTTAAAGTCAGGCACAGTTTTTTTTTAATTGTGTTTTACAATAGAAAATCTTCACCCTCCCCATTTGTGAAGTCAAAGGCCTGCAATGTGCTAGAAAGAACAGAGGCCCCGTCACGTGGGGAGGCGAGCCCCAGCTGTGTGCTGCCCACCATGAGGTTCCTGGCCTGTGTGCTGATTACTTCCTGGAGCAGATGCCTTACTAACACTCAGGGCCGAGCTGCCCGCTCACTGTCTAAGCTAGGCCACACTCGCCTCCTCGCCTTTGCCTGTTTCCGCCACGTCTATATGCTAAAGCATGTAGAAGCACTGGAAGTAATTTATTTTACCAGAATGCTCTTCACCTTCCAGTATCCTGCTCTGTATTTGCTAACACTTACTACAATGCCTTTTACTTAACAATCTGTTTGTCTCTTCTCTCCGTATATTCCTAGTGGGAGGTGAGGCCGTCCCTCACCCTTGTGGGTACCAAGTTAAAGCCTAGGCTGCCTTCTCTCTCCTTGCAGGGAAGGAGGATGGAACAGTTGCCCAAGGCTGTAGCTAGTTTCAAGCACTGAAACTGGCTTCATATTCTGGTATTTTTTTCAAATTACATGCCTCATGGTGGTTCCATCTAATATTAAAGTGGATGTGTGTCACTCTGGCTAGCTGACTGGACCGGGGGTCCAGCTTCCTCTTCTGTGCTTGCTCAGCCAAGGCCTAGTTCATCCATGTGGGCTTAAATGCACCTGCTTATCCCTATGGCTGGTCCTAGGCAGGTTCATCTGCTTTGGGTTGCTGTGGCTGGTCGACTCCACCAAGCAACACCAAAGCCAGTAAACTAACCTCTACTGATACCTATCTTTCTCAGTGGTCACTCGTGCTTTCTCTTCTGTCTCTATACCCTGTGCTCCAGCATGAGATCAAATCACCAGCAGGTTACAAGTCCCTCAGCCCCAGGGATTGGTAGATGTATGGTCTGGCCCATTGTTTTGTAAAGGGCTCTAGAGACCAAAGTTTGTTGCCTACTTAGCTTGACAACTCAGAGCAGCTCACAGTACTAGGCCTGTTGTACAGTTATGGCGTCACTTAACGACAGGGACATGTTGTGAGAAGTGCGTCATCAGGCAATGCCATCATTGTGTTCACCATAGAGAGCACTCGCACAAACCCAGCTAGTATTAATTACCTGGTGCACGCCGTGGCTGTGTGGTACAGCCCGTAGCTCCCAGGCCACAACCCTGGCTAGAGTTACTGTACTGAATACTGTAGGCAGCTAACGCAGTGCTAAATGTTTGTGTCTAAACATAGAAAGGTACAGTAAAAATAGTGTTACAACTTTATGGGACTGTCATTTACATGGTGGTCCATTGATTAAAACATCATTGACTGCAAAACATCGTTAGGTGGCGCCTGACTGTATAAGATTTGTGTGAAGTTTTAATAGAACGAACTGCTGAGGAAAGGGGTCGCAGGCATGTGTGCACACGCACTTGGTCTAGACTAATAGAATGGTGCTCAGAGTTCCTCACCTTTTGTTCCTAACACATCTGGGCTGGGCTGGGCCACTTCTCAGAGAAGCAGCCCTCACGGGACCATTTGCTGACACATAACCATACTTAGAAGGGAGGGGCGTGCGTGATAGGGCAGTACCGCCACTGATGCTATTTATTTTTCAACAGCGAGAACTTTCAAAGGCTTCCAAATCTGATGCTACTTCTCGAATCCTCAATTCAACCAACATCCAGCCCTGAGAAGCCCTGATCAGTCAACCAGCTGTGGCTTCCTATGCCTAGACCAAACCTAACTCTGTGGGGGTGGCTTTAGTTTTTTGTCAGTTTAGGTGTGCTTGGAACCTGGGCAGGTGCCATTACCATGGGCCTGATGTGAATGAGTATACACATAAAAGTCCATCATGGGTTTAGTGGGTCTTAGGAGACTTGGTTTTGTTTTGACTCACATTAACACCTAGTTTATAGCAATAGTGCAAATTCTAGCGTATGGGACGCAGTTTCTTTCTCTACCCCAAAGTTCCAGTCACTTGCTGAAGCATGGTCAAGGGCTCGTTTTATTCGTCTTTGTGTAGGAAAATGGTCAACTCTGCCTGTCCTTGGGGTATGGGACATGAAGTAATTTTGGCTTGTATACTCATAATTAGCCATTAACTTCTTTTTTGTTTAGGGATGTTGAAGTAATGCTTAGCTGTGATAGCTTTGCTCTCACCTGAAGGCCTGTCCCCACCACACAGGACAGTCTTCCTCCTGATGAAAATGTCTGTGTGTGTCAGAAGTTGAGATGGCCTGACCTACTGCCAAAGAGGTGACAGGGAGGCTGGGAGCGCCTTTGTTAAATTGTGTACAGTTCTGTTAAATAGTGCAATGCTCGTCGTTGGGAGTGTGTATGAACACATCTGTTTCCTCAGAGTTTATCCCTGGGGCCAGTTCCCCATCCCTGTGCCCGAATTCTTCTATCCCCTTGCACTTGGCAGCCAAGTCAGGAGGCTGTTTGGATGGGTTGGGCCATTTCCGTCGTGGAGTCCTGGAACTTTGCACATGTCACTACTGGGGAGTTGTTCCTGCTATGGAGCATCCACGACGAGGACCTTCCGTGACCCACCCTGTCAGTCACTACTGTTCTTCCAGAGCACTATTATTTATTCTTACTCTGCCTGCACCAGCAACACTGTCAACACATTAAATGGTTCTCAGAAGCTTAGCAGTGTGGCCTTGGTCTGTGTCAGCCATGCTGTTTAGTCATACATATACCTGTCCTGCTTTTAAAATATAAATTCTTAAATTAAAATGTGTATACTTACATTTTAAAAAGATATTGTGGTGTTTTCATTTTTTTCCCTAATCACTTTTTGGTTGATTTGGTCTGTGGAAAAAAGACTAAGGACATGTAAGAGCTTTAGTTGGGAGTGTGATTTTTACATTCTTCTGTTCGTTTCTAAATTAAGAATATTTTCCGAAAAAAAGAAAAAAGCCTAACTCCTGATCTATTAAATAAGCTGAGGTGAAATTAGGAAGCTTCTTGCTTCATTGTCATTTGTCATATTAAGAATAGGTTTTAGAGGGTAAAGATGCCTTTTTTTTTTTTTTTTACAACTTTACATATGTATAGCTTGTCAGTTATACCTCAAAGTGTATATGTTGATAGATTTTGACTTGTGAAACAATCACCACAATCAAGTTACTCAACGTACCCATCACCCTTAAAAGTTTCCTCTTGCCCTGTTCCAATTCCTCTCATATCTTCATCACCAGCAACCACTAGTCTGTTTTCTGTCACTATTATAGTTTGCATTTTCTACAGTTTTACGTAAGTAGAATCATACAGCATATACTTTTGGTCTGGCTCGTTCACTGTTTCTTTCCTTATTTTGAGATTCACCCATATTGTTTCAATCCATATTTCATTCCTGTTTATAGACAAGTAGTGTTCCATGGTATGGATAGACCAGTTCATTTACCTGTCATGTTTGTTCACATTTGTGTTCTCTCCAGTTTTTGGCTATTAAAAATAAAGCTGCTATAAATATTTAAATACAAATCTTTGTATGTATATATATTTTCTTTGGGAAAAATACCTAGGAGTGGAAGGGCTGGATCACATCTCTGGTAGTTCTTAAAAAGTTAAACATATACCTTCCAAAGTGGTGGTACTGCCCAGACATGGTGGCTCATGCCTGTAATCCCAGCACGTTGGGAGGCTGAGGCAGGAGTCTTTCTTGAAGCCAGGAGTTTGAGACCAGTCTGACAACAGTAAGACTGTATCTCTACAAAATTAAAAAAAAAAATTAGCTGGGCTTATAGTCACAGCTACTAGGGGGGTCACCTGAGCCCAGATGTCTGAGTCTGCAGTGAGTTACCATCGTGCCACTGCACTTGGCCGGGGTGACAGAGACCCTTTCTCTTTAAAAAAGAAAAAAATTAAAGGAGGGGAGTTGTATGATTTTATATTCCAACCAGTAATGTATGCAGGTTCTGTTTTCTCCATATCTTCAACAGTTGGATTGGTCAGTCTTTATACTTTTAGCCAGTCTACTGGGTATGAAGTTAGGATCTCATTGTGGTTTTAATCTGTAATTCTGTAATGACTAATGATGTAGATCATCTTTTCATATGCGTATTTGCCTTCCTTTTTTGTGGGGGGACATGGTCTCATTCCGTCACCCAGCTTAGAATATGGTAATGTAATCATAGCTCATTGCAGCCTTGAACCTGGGCTCAAGCGATCCTTCTACCTCAGCCTCTGGAGTAGCTGGGACTACAGATCCAGTGAATTTTTTAGCTGATATGACAAGACACATGAGGCATATATATTTATTTAGGTTTTAATTCCTCTGAGATTTTATGGCTCACATGAACAAATCTTTACCAGATTTATCCCCAGATATTTCATGTTTTTTGATGCTATTGTAAATGGTATTTTATAATTTAATTGTTGCCTATATATAGAAATGCAGTTTTGTATGTTGACCTTGCATCCTAAAACCTTGCTAAACTCATTTTTTTTTTCCGATCTTTCAGTGTACACATTTTTTTTTTTTGCTAAACTCATTTAAAAACAAAAACAAAAAAAAAGCAAAAAAATGTAAAAACAAAATGCTCTCCTCCCAGTCTTTACAGATTGGCTCTGAATTGGACCATTCCTTCAGCACTTAGTCTGGTGGTTTCCAACTCGGCCTTAGCCATCGCTAACTTGCGCAGAGCCCAAGGCCATCCATGGGAGAAAAAGTAGTGTTTTCTCAGGCCTATCCCTGAGCACTTGTCTAGCCCTGGGCTAGACGAGTGTCATGGTCTTCTCACTTCCCCAGCATACAGGAGAGCTTATAAAGCACTCCCCCTCCTGCCCAATGTATCTCCTTACTGACCTCTTTCTTTCTAGGCTTTTTGGCATGTCTACATGTCTACTCTTCTGGGAACACTCAGTGGTGAAATAGAGGCAAGGCCTTGTCCCAGTCCTTCATGGAGCCACCAGATCGGTCAAAACCCACAACCACGATTCTTTGGACAAGGACCATGTTGCTCCCGTGGCACTGATTAACTACACCACAGGTGCCAGCTCTTGTCCTCAAAGCCCCACCCTGCACTCTGGGCCAGGGCTTAGGGGTGGTAGGCAAGCAATTTAAAGAAAATAGCACTCTTGCCACAGAGCAGCATCTATTCCCTTGAAGTCTTTCCCTAGTTATACATTTCACTGGGTTTCTAGAGTCCTGTAATAGTTGATTCTGACCGTTTTTTGCATTTGTGAAGGGACGTTGCCCTGGAGTCCCTACTGCGCCATTGTCAGTTCCATCCCCATTTCTAAGTGTTTATGCACCTAAAAACAGCTGTAAAATACACAAAGCAAAATCTGATAGAACTGAGAAATGGACAAATCCACAATTAGAGCTGAGGACATAACACTCCTCTCCCAGCAACTAAGTACAACAACTAGGGGAAAAAACAGTCCAGACTATAGAAGAACTGAATCCCACCATCGGTCAGCTGGACCTACCAACCAACAATAGCACGGTACATGTTCTTCACGAGCGCACAGAGAACATTGACAAAAGCAGATCATATCCTGGGTCACAAAACAAACCATAATTTTTTAAAAATTGAAATGAACAAAATGTTCTCCAGCCATAATTAGATTCAAATACAAATAATAAAAATTCTTAGAAAATATTCAAATACTGTTGTCTCTCAAAATCCATGGGGCGGGGGGATTGGTTCCAGGACCTCCAGTTACCAAAATCTCCTTATTTAAAATGGGGTAATATTTGCACATAGCCTACACCCACCCTCCTGTATTCTTTAATCATCTCTAGATTACTTACAATACCTAATACAATATAAATGCTATATAACTGTTACACTTGTTTATTTGCATTATTTTTCGTATTTTTCCTCTCAAATATTTTCAGTTTACTGTCGGTGGATCCAGATGCAGAAGCTGCAGTTATGGAGGGCTGACTGCACTCGGACATTAAAAAACACTCTTCTGAATAATAAATCAAAGAAAAGGCTCAAGGAAATTAGAAGATATTTTGAATAGAACAAAAATGAAAATACAACATATCAAAATTTGAGGGATGCAGCTAAAACATGGTTAGAGGAAAAATTACAGTATTAAGTGCTTATGCTAAAAAATTCTCAATTCAATAAGCTTACACATTAAGAAACTACAAAAGGAAGCACAAAATGACAAACAGCAGAAAGCAATGAAACTGAAAAGAAAAATAATAGAGGAAGTTAATGAAATGAAAGCTAGTTCTTTAAAAAATAAAATTAGCAAACCTCTGGCCAGACTGATGAGGAGAAAAAAAATATGATGTAGATTAAGATTATTAGAAATGAGGCTGGACGTGGTGGCTCATGCCTGTAACCCTGGCACTCTGGAAGGCCGAGGCGGAAGGATTGCTTGAGCTCAGGAGTTCAAGGTCAGCCTGAGCAAGAGTGAGACCCAATCTCTACTAAAAATAGAAAAATTAGCCAGATGTGGGAGTACGTGCCTGTAGTCCCAGCTACTCAGAAGGCTGAGGCAGGAGGATCGCTTGAGCCCAGAAGTTCGAGACCAGCCTGAACAAGAGTGAGACCCCCCCATCTCTACAAAACCTAGGAAAATGAAGCAAGGCATGGTGGCAAGTGCCTGTAGTCCCAGCTACTCGGGAGGCTGAGGCAGGAGTATTGCTTGAGCCCAGGAGTTTGAGGCTGCTGTGAGCTGGGCTGATGCCACGGCACTCTAGCCCAGATGACAGTGAGACTGTCTCAAAAATAAATAAGAGTAGAAAGCCCAGAAATAGACTCAAATATATATGGAATGTTGTAACAGTGGCATCTCAAATCACTAGGTTCTGGGAATACTGGTTAATCACTCAGAAAAATACAAATTATACCTAAAACCATATATAGAATAAGCTCCAAATGGACCAGGGATTTAAATGTAAAAACTGAAATGACATAAGTAGAAGAAAACATGGTTGAATTCCTCTATAATGTGGTATAGCGAAAGACTAACTATAACTCAAAATCTACATGAAATAGACTGATACATTTTGACAAATTTTTTAAAAATCTTTTGCATAGAAAAACATCATAAAGTCAAAAGACAACTGACAAGCCAAGAGAAAGTATTTCCAACATAAATCACAAAGGGATACTGTTCTCAAACATCTATAGAAGTAACCAGGAATCCATTTCCCCACCTAGTCAATAACTATACTGGCAGAATCTGTCTGATATAACTATTTGGACTCTAAAGTCTATTCAAAGGCTTGCAGCTCCCAGGGGGAAGGCTCGGCTGGTAAATTACAATTAATTTTGGTCAATTCCAACCCTTCATGAATAGGGGCTACTCATAGCCCACCTCACAGCCCCCAGTCAGGCGGCCAGGCGAGCACTCTGGAGCGGCTTGCACACACCTTCCAGGAGGCAGGGCAGGCACCAAAGGCCTTGTCCTCTGGACATTAGGGGTCGCTGTTCTGATCATTGGTTGCTGCTTCTGACGGAGGTGTGGACAGGAGAGTTGTGCCCTACTACCGTGCTCCACCCAACCATTGCTATAACCTTGCTACGTTGGCTGAAGCAACTTATGTGGCATTAAAGGGCTACTGCCTGTTTTGTATTGTTTCGCTCCCCCCCTCCGCCATTTTGCTCTAATTTTCCCTTTCTGCAAGCCAGACATTGAAAGAGTAAGAAATTTAAAGCAAATGCATATACAGTTGAATTTAGAATGTTACTAGAGGCTGGGCGCGGTGGCTCGACCTGTAATCTTAGCACTCTGGAGGCCAGAGGCGGGCGATTGCTCCAGGTTCAGGAGTCGGAAACCAGCCTGAGC